ACCCACCCCCACACCCACCCAGAGCTTGTAATTTCAATTTTAAATTTCACTCACGGCTCAAAATTTCTCATGGCATAAACACAGAAATACAAAACCCAGTCCAGATATCTACTCCCTGGTGGCGTGAAATTCTTAATAGTTTTGAGCTGAAAGTAGAAAAATAAACAGAGAACTAAGAAGGCAGATTCTCTGTCATCTTTCAGGCAACCAAGTCAAGATCTGTGTGAACTATGAACCAGAGATCACAAGTGGTCAGACCATGAAACCAAGAAAGTTGGCACCAGAAACCAAGGGAATACTTGGAAAGAATAAAAATCAAATTTTTACCGTGGTGTCAACTGACAAGAGTCTGGAGTTCGGGACGGGAGCTGGACTCAGTGCTGGGACCCTGTACCACCGCTCAGGAAAGGCTCACGGGGACTCCTTCAGCCCTGGTTACCTGGGTGGGGAATCAGGGCCAGCCCCATCCAGTCACTGCTCCAGAACCACGTGACAGAATGCACGAGACAAGTAAGAGGCCTTTCTGCTCAGACGGTTGTAGGAGGGGCCCATCCATGAACGAGGAACGTCTCAGAGGAAAGGAGGGGACTGGGGCTTTGGGGAGGCAGGTAGACAAGGGGCCGCCAGCAAGTTGGAAGCACGCAGAGGGTGGAGGTGGTCTCTTCTGAGTCACCGAGGAGGAGCGTGGTGGGGCCTCTCTTGGGGGCAGGAGAAGGCAGCCCTTTCAGTTGTGTTTTTCTAAGAACAGAAGAGAGTGGGGCGGTTTCCTGACCGCTGTTCTAGGTTCTGGGGCTCAGGGCTCAGGTAAAGTTCAGGCTTGTGGTGGAGAGTCAGCGTTCCATAGAATGGGAATGTGCCTTGCAGGACAGGAAGATCCAGGTCTCAGTCCTCAAGGACCCCTTCACTTTTCAACACTGAATACGTTTGGTTCTAATAAATGTTGGCTTGTCCCTTTTGGTCTTTTCCAGTAATATTAAACAAGATTTACTGGCTGTTATTAGATTTGTGCTCTGTGACTGTCACCTCACCTAAAAATTCTGTGGTGCGGATGGAGGAGGGTCCGGTGACCGTTACTAGCAGGGAGTGAAGGGGCCGAACTTGCTCCCCGTTTTTATTACCTGCAGTGAAACGTGACATCCAGCCAGGGGTACGTAGATAAATGACTCAATTAAAAATGGCTTGCATTCTCACGGAATTACATACCGTGAGGGTCATAATTTACAAAACTGCTAGGATTAATATTTGCTTTCAACAGAATTATTAATCGTATAGCACCCTGGGAGTAATTCATTGTCTTTTTTCTTAGATGAGACACATGAGGTCAGGAAAGGCCAAGTGGCCTGTCAAATACAAAATCACGAACACGTGAGCTGCACAAAGATGTCCCGAATTTCAGTCTTATTCTGGGTAGTCTTATGCTAGCATCTGATTCTATTCATTGTGCTTCTTTTTGTGAAATTGACAGTTATAAAATATTCTCCAGGAGTGATAGCATTCTAAGCGGAGGAAAGGTACGTTGAATTTTGTGTACAGAAATTTTACTCCACTCCATAGAGCACGTGGAGGTACTGTGAGGGATAGCTCCTCGGGCTTTGGTTTGAGTTTCCCAGCTGACTGACTAGTGGTGTGGAGCGTCTTTTCAGCTGCTGCAGGCCATTTCTGATGCTGTGTGAGGGGAACTGGTTTCTCGGCTTCCTTTTCTGATTGTTCATTACTAATGTATAGGAGTACAGCTGATTTTGTGCCTGCAACTTTGCTGAATTCTTTTGTTAGTTCTAACGGTTTTTATGGATTCTTTAGGGTTTTCTGCGTGTAAGGCCTTCTCATCTGTGAATAGATAGTTTCTATGGTGTCTTCTGTTTCTCATTTTCTTGCCTGATTGCCTGCCTAGAACAGCAGCTTAGTTTTGGACACGTCACATTTAAGATCCTTATCAGACCTCTGGATGAGGATGCCAGGCAGGCAGTAGGATTTTTGCGTCTGGGCATCGGGGAGCAGGTGGTGCGCTAGGATGTGGAACTGGGGGTTGTCACGTGTTGCTGGTGCACGCAGCCAGTGTGAGGGTCGCCTGGGGGTAAGTGGAGAGGAGGAAGAAAAACAACCCGAGGGTGAGTCACAGAGAAGCCTAGCATCGCAGAAGTCAAGAGGCTTTCCTCTTCCTGCTCCCTCCTCCCTTCAGTCTAGAAATGGGCACTTCCCACGGAGAAAGTCCTACAGGCTTCTTTGAGATGGTTCCACAGAAGTAGACGCCTTGGAACGGCCTCCTCTTGGGTTTTACCTGGGGCCGCACCGCTAGGCCTGTGTCGTGTTCATCCGAGGACGACACGGAAACCCGGGATTAGCTGCAGTCAGGATCTCACTCGATGATGAGAGGCTGGTCTCCAGACTCTGCCCAGGAGCTGTGCTGAGGACGTTCCAGTCGGATCTGAGACAGGGGAGACCCAGCGGAGGACGCTCTGGGGGGAAACCAGAGGGCAGGGTGGCCGCGCCCGGCCACGAGCGCACCTGCGCTTCCCACCATTCTTCCTTTGAGTCTTTTTGATTTGTGTGGCCTCTTCCTCCACCTCCCCTCAGCACACCCGAGGGGCACACCCTTCAGTCCTGCCACTGTGTCCCCTGGGGTCCCTCGCGCGCCTTTGGTTCCTCCTCCTCATTCACTCAGGACACCAGGACGTGTGTGATGGTGAGTTTGTGGTTACACTGAGCAGCTGGTCACATTTGAATACATCACACGAGCTGAAGAGTGTGTGAGTGATGTGTGTTCACATTCGCTTTGGCTTAACATGCACCAAATTATTATTAAACAGTAGTCGTTTCCGGCTGGTGGAGCTCCAGGGGGGTTTGTGTGTCTAACTGTAGATTTCTAAAGCATTTAATTTTTTGCCATCAGTGTGTATTCCTTATACAAGTAAAAAGTATTTTAAAGTTTTTATTTTAAAAAAAATTTAGAATTCCAATTAATAGGAGATGCCAACACATAAGTAAGCAGTCCCATTACCTGTGCTCTGTATGCAAGGGCTTAAGGAATTTGCTTGACTCAGATAACAGAAGCTTAAGCATTACTGTGTACCTGTGTCTGAGACAGAATACGGTTGCCCAGAAGCCTTAGGAAAAATGGTTTTTAAGCCTGCGAAACAAAAAATGCCTTTCTCACCCTCTCCTTCCTTGAAAGGGTCTGCTCTCTAACTGCTAGATGGACTTCCGGAGGGAAGCGTTTCTGTTTTCCTCCTCTACTTCCTGTCCTGGATTATTTTGGATTGGTTTGGGGACAATATCTGGGTTTCTATCTCCTGGGCTGTTTTTTTTTCTAGGAATATAAAGGGGTTTTTTTTCCCTCTGATATATACTTAAATGTTTATTTTTAAGTGATGTAATTTTTCAGAAAAACGTATTAAAGCTTATTTCTGTGGGAAAAATATTTTTTATATTTTTGACTGTTTTTTTGTTCCTTCTCTTTTGAAATCTCTAGCCAACAAGAACATTAGTCATGACGAGCATGCCATCTGAGTAAGTACGCGTTGTTTTGAAAACTTTCTACTCAATGTAAAATTTTAGACTTTTCGTTCGCACACTGTGCGGCCGGGCTCTTTGGGCAGCTCCTCGAGCTGTGGTGTGTCGCTGTTTCTGTGTGTAATTAACATTGGAGTTAGAGGATCACTGGAAATAACAGAGGTGGTTGAGGAGTTTAGCACTGAAGACCTTCTGAGTGGTTCAGAGGCATGACGAGGCATTATGGTATTTGCTGTTCCTCTTGCCTGGTTCACACCTAATGGCTCTGCGTGTCCACCACCCCCACCTGTAAGTGGAGCATCACTGGCTGCAGCATTTCCCTTAAAGGTCTTAAAGAAACATTTTTGGTGATATTAAAGCAGCTCTCTGCACGTTGCAGGAGAGTTCATAGCTTGCTGACGGGCTCTTGACGTCTTCCTTAGACATTTTGCACAATATGGCACATCCAACACAAATATGGTGCCATATTCTTTGCAACAGATTTTTGAATTCTTGTTTAAAGGGGAAAAGTTTTTTTTATACATCAATCCTAAGTTTAAGGGTTTCAAGAAGTTCATTAAAACACAGGGACATTTCAGTGAAAAATAGGCTGCGAAAAGAGTGCACGCTCCCAACACTTTCTGTAGCAAAGTCCCTCTCCCGTCGTGGCTTGGCATTAAAGGGACTGATAATTCAAACACCCAACATTTCCTAGTGAGAAGGGAGACACTCAGTTTTTATAACTGTCTTGTGAAATATATTGGACATCCTGAATAGTCTAATACTGAAACGAATATTGAATACAAGTATTTTTTAAAGTCTATGTTTTAAAATTAAATTTAAAAAAGAACTTAATAGCTAGTTATCTGCTCAATCAAAGGTTTGAGAATTGGACTATTTAGTCCATATTTTCTTTGTTAGTCTTTCTTGCCCCATGTGTACTTCTTGTCTGAAGTTGGGAGCGAGACCTCAGTGTTCTGAGACTGCATTCAGTGAGCCTTGTCTTGAAAAGATGCTTGTTACTGATCAGCACATCCAGAAATAGCTGGCTGCTGCCAAACATGGGATGAGAGTCACAGACATGCGGGAAGAGAGCATCTGGGTTAGAGGGTTTCACTTCTTTTTGCCTTATGTTCCCCCAAATTTAATATTTTCCAACAAGCACAGCCCCCCTGGTTGAAGTGGTGATGGGGCCCAATCTTGACTCATCCATCTTCCATGCCCTGGGGATCCCTGAGAACGTCACACAGGATAGAGGTCAAGCCTTCATTGTGCAACTGAAGAAATGGGTCCTGTGATGGACAAACCAGGATCATTGGTGATAAAAATAAGAAATGCCATGAAGTGGACAGGGGTTTGTGAGAGACAGTCTGCGTCAGCATGGGCAAGAACCAGCTCCTTGCCTTTGTAGTACAGTTTTTGGAGAGGACAGTTTATTTCCTGACTGTGTACATTGTAGTGCAGCTCAGGGAGCCTGCCTGTTGTTTGTGTTTACCGGGAATCTCCTAAACTTGCCAGGAGAGAGGAAGGGAAGAGAGAACAGAAGGCATAGAGAGGTGATCGTAAAAGGAAGAGAGGAAAAATGAAGGAAGTTAGGAATAACACTTAAAAAGAAAAAAAAAGGTACTTGAGGCACTGAGGGAATGACAGACCAGAAGCAAAACGATGATGACAATGATGAGGTTTGTGTAATTAAGGCCCCTCTGAGATTCCAGATTTGCCTTGAGATTCCATTTGACAATTTAATCAATAGGGCTTTTTTACCCTCTTAGAAAAATTATGTGGTTGACTCTCGATAAATATTACGTTTCAAAATAAGTGAGAAGCTTTGTTTTCAAAATAGTGAGAGGCTTGGTCCTGACCACGCACACACTGGCTCACGGAGGACTCAGAAGTAAATAATTGCCGTGGTGGGAAGAGCTGGGTGGTGTCAGGAGATCGGGTGTGGGATGCTGGCGGCCCCCTCAACCCCAGGCACTTGGGGGAGCGACTTACAGCCTTGGGGCCATGGTTTTCTCAGCTGTTAGAATAGACCGTTGGAGTCAAGATCTGAAATGTTCTGTTTCCGTGAATTTCAGGTCATGGGTTGCAAAGAAATTGACAGGAGCACCAAAGCCAAAAATCAATGTAGAGTTTTTTTGTAGTTTTTTTTTTTTTTAAACTGAGTGTGATGACCTTGATGTTGATGGACAGGAAACACGTCCTCCGTGCTGACTTTTCTTCCTGTTTGATAGGAAGCAGAATGTCGTCGTCCAGGTGGTGAATAAACTGAAGGGCTTCTCCTTGGCCCGGGAGGTGTGCGGCAGCACCACGCACGTGCTGGTGGGGAAGCCGCGCCGCACCCTGAACGTGCTGCTGGGCATCGCGCGAGGCTGCTGGGTCCTCTCGTTCGAGTGGGTAAGCAGCCGTGCCGGCAGAATACGCGGGGTTTCGGGGCCTGAAACGGGGCATCCACACAGGGTTGGCCGGCTGGTGGTGGCTCGGGGTCCCTCCTCGGGCTCCCGTCCTTCAGCCACGGCCGGTCCCCGGAGGACGGGTGGGTGCCTTCCGTGCAAAGAGCTCGCAGCCGCAGGCAGAAAGAAGCTTGGCGCAGACTTGGACTGGAAAGGCAGAACGCGTGTTCTCACAGTCAAATGCACTCTCTTCTGCGTTTGACCAAGAAACAATGTGACCTATGCTGGCGGTGGTTTAAAAAGCCAAAAGAATTCAGTGATTGTTTTTACAGATGGATTTACTTAGGGTGAAACATGCTCATTTAATCCTATTTGGATAGGCTTTATCTTACGCATGTCTATCTAGCATCACTTGCCCTTATTTCTGTGAATTGACTGTAGTTTTTTTAGTCATTGTTTTCATTATTCTTGAAATTGCAATTGTTACTTTTTCTGTTTTCACCTGGATCCCCAACCTGTGGTCTCTTCCGTTGCCGTCTGATACGGGTTGCATTGTCTGTTACGTGTGTTGCTGTTTTGATTCTGCTAAGTGTCCACCCTCCCTCCTTCTCCCCCTAAGCTGAATTATAATATGCAAACAAACTACAGGTGTACTTTTAAGAATGACAGTGGTCTTTTTCTCAGGTCGTGATTTAACTCTGCATCGCCCAGTACAACAGGTTTGAGACGTGAGTGCTTAGAGTCGTGAAGTGGAAAAGCTTGAAATTCTCCCCAAAAGCACTATTTGCACAGGCGGCAATTGGGGGTTTCCTCCCCTAATTATGTGTTAGCACTGATCCACATTTACTTGTATGAGGGTCATGAATAACTCCAGGTTCCATGAGTGAACAGCCTGTTTGCTTTCTTCCCGGCTCACAGTGTCTCTGTCTCTTTATCAGCCACCTCTTCCTTCCACCGTGTTTCAGAGGAAGAGATGTTCTCTGTCTGCCATGAGGACGTGCAGCTGTACTTGATTCTGTACCCAACCTGTCCTTCTGGAACTTAGAGCCGGCAGAGAGGACGGACGTGAGGATTGGCGTTTACTGCTGCCCTGTTTCCGCTCAGCATCCTGCCAAGGGTCTCCCACCAATCACACAGAAACAGAACCCAATGCAAATTTAACTTCTGGTAACTGTGTGTGGGGTGAACCGCTCTCCAGGATTAAGCACTGTCTGTGAGTGAGGCAGGAAGTAAAACATGGTACTTAACACACTTTGGTTGCTCAGAGGGGACTGGACCTCCCTGCCCAAAGGGGAGGAATCTGGAACCCGGTCACAGAAGTGAATGGATTAAGTGTAAGTGCAATAAGGCAAGAAAACAAAATGAAAGGCATTCAGGTTAGAGGGGAAGAAGTGCGGCTGCCTCCGTTCCTGGACAGCGTGATCGTCTGTGTAGACAGTTGCCAGAAATCTACCAAAAAGCTCTCAGAAGTAATAAGTGAGTTCAGCAAATCGTTGGGATCCAAAGCTACAGTAATACAAGGTCAACGTTGAAATGCTGAAGTATAAATCTAACATAACAATGTGTGCAGGATCCGTGCACTGAAAACGACAAAACACCGATTTAAAACAACAGAGACATGCTATGTACATGGATTGGAAGACAATTGGAGTTACAGTGCCACTCCTCCCCAAAATGATGTACAGACTTAAAGCATCCCCCCTCAAAATCACAGACGACAGAGACAAGCTGATGCTGAGGTGTCTGTGTGGAGGAGAAGGAGCAGCGTAGCCGAGACAGCTCTGCGAGAGAGCGGAGCTGGGGGCGTGTGCCTCTGCCGCTGACTTCCAGGCGGAGGGGCTGCTTTCCCTGGTCGGGACGTGACAGACCCGGGGCCGGGAAGGGCTGACAGCGGTGGGGTGATACCTCCTGGGAAGGGACCCTGCCCCCCTGCACAGCTTCACCCAGGCTGATCGGCAGGAGGGAGCACCTTCGGATTAGACAGCCTGGCTGACCAGGGAAGGCAGGGCCCTGCCTCCTCCAAAACTCCGCCTCCCCCTCAGCCGATGTCCTTCCCACCCTCCTTTCTTGCCCTCCGTTCCTTCCTGTGGGCCTCCCCAGGCGAAGTCCTAAAGCAAGTTCCTCTTCAGGGAGGAGGTCACCCTGGGACTCCCATCTGAGCATGCCTTCCCCTGCTCTGAGCGTTCCCTGTATTTCCTCAGTCTAGCCCAGAATCTAGATTCAGAAATACTCACCTGAGTGTGGGACCCTTGACCCCTGTGTCAGCTTCTCCACCTGTGAGATGGGCAGTCACCCCGCAGAGCCTGCCCGAGGAAGGGAGAGCCAGTGTGCAGACTCAGAGCCGGGCGCTCCCCCACTGCGGGTGGGAACACAGCACCCCATCCCTGACCGTGACCCTGGGGGCTGCAGGGGATGGACAGTGCACCAGGCTGGTGGGAGCTCAATCCCAGTGTGCTGCAGAGGGGCTCCGGGCTCTCCTGTCCCCCACAGCAGGACGCGGCCTCTGTGGGTTCCAGCCGCCCCACTCGCTTTCTTTGCACGCCTCACTTTCCAGGGTGGAGTGTGCGGCCCAGGTTAGGCCTGTGCAGGCAGGAAAGTCTCCCCTGCAGCAGCCAGGGGAGAGGGGTCGTGGGATGTGCCCCGCTCTGGGGCACCAGGCAGTGTAACCTCCCCTGCAGCTCCTGACCCGGCCTCACTCGGGCTCGGTCTATGGCGGGGTTCAGCCTTGGCCCAGGCTCCCTGCCTGACGTGACCCAGTTCAGGGGCTGCAGGAAGCTGTTTGCTCTGTTTGGGGACAGGAGGTGTGTAGGGAGCTGGGTGCTATTCTCCAGTTACAAGAAACAGGGAGATTTAGGGGCAAGCAGGTCACTGAGCCCAGCCTTCTGCAGCCTGCACTAGGAGTGTGTGGGACCATGGCCAAGGTGTGGGCAGACCGAGTCCACTCTGGGCTGCAGACATGGCTCTGTCCCTGGACATTGCTTCTGTCCTTTCTCCCCTCCTTGCTTCACTGGCCACAGGGTCCCCCTCCAGCCCTGGGTGTGTGGGCCGCCATCCTCACCCATCATGGGGCAGAAATGAGGGGGTGCAGCTGGGCTCATGGAGGCAGGCAGAGGACAGTGGAGGACCAGGCCGAGGATCCCAGGGCCCATGGAGGGCAGGGGCACCCTGGGGGCGGGGCGACAGCCAGCCACCATCAGGGACCAGTGTCCAGCCACCCACTTCTTTCTCTGTTTCCCTCAAATGTGGGTCACATCCAGGTGTCATCCCCCTGTTCCTACCCTGTGATTTTCATATGAGCGGCCTCACGGAGCAGGGGCTGGTTGTGAAAGGACAGACAGGACAATTCATGAAGGAAGCCACATGGACAAAGTGTGCTTCCTCAGTAATTCATGAAAGGCAAACCATTCCTCCCGTGGCACACAGTAACGGGAAAAATGAGACGCAGTTACTGCAAAGAAGGACTAAGACGACGCCCCACATGCTGCAGGAGGGGTTCAAAGTGGTCCAGCCTCCCTGATGGCAGTCTCGTGATGTGCATCCAACATCCTAAAATGTCCATGGCCTTGGATGTGGTAATCCTGCATAGGAAGTAATTGGAGATTCAGTTATTCGGTGTTCATCCCAGCATTGCAGTAAGGAAAAGTGGAAAGCAACCGATTGGGAATTCGTTTCTTTTCTGCTGTGTTGAACACTGGCAATGGAGGATTGCTGAAGTGAGTTACTGTACCCCCACCCAGACAGCAGAGCATCACACAACCCTTAGAAGTCACACAGAGCATTTGACTAGAAAGAAAAATGCTCTTTGAACGTTAAAAAAGATTATAAAAGTAGTGTGTATCATGTGATACCATTTTATTTTGTAAAAATATAGCTAAATATTTCTGTACATAAAATAGATTAAAAAAAAAGACTGAGGACATCCTCCAAAATGTTAATAGTAGTTTTATCTGTGGATGGTGGAACAGAGTAATTGTAATTCTCCTCTTTGGCTTTTCTGCAATTTCCAACTTTCCTACAATGATTGTATGTGGCTTTTGTATAATAAATAGAACTTAAAAGTAAAAAAAATAGTTGGAAGTATAACACTACCTGATTTCAGGGTGTCCTCGGACACTTCCGTAATCAAGATGATGGGTCTCAGCAAAAGGACAGGCGTGATGGGGCAGATGCAGAGTCTAGAAATAGATCCAGACACACGTGGCCACTGGTTTTGACTGAGGTGCGAAGGCCATTCACTGGAGAAAGGACAGTCTTCGACAATGGTGCTGGAGCAACTGGACATTTGTACACACAGAAAAAAATGACCCAATGGCATCACGTTGTGCACAGAACTTACCTCAAACTGGATCACAGACTAAAATGGAAAATGGTAAAACTCTTACTAGTAAACGTAGGATAAAAGTCTTCATGACCTTGGTTTACACGAAGAGTTCTTAGATAACACCAAAAACATATATAAGAGAAAAAATTGTTACACTTCATCAAAATTAAAATGTTTTACTCTGTGAAGAACATTTTGAAGAGACCAGGAGAAAACGCTTGCAAATCTTATCTGATAAAGCATGTATATCCAGAGTATACAAAGAACTCTCCACTCAAAAAGAAGGAAATGAACTTCCCAAACAAAAATTGTCCAGAAAACCTTTCTGAACACTTTTCAAAAGTGTGCAGATGTCAAGAAAGCACCTAAAAAGTAGTCAACACTGTTAGTCATAGAGAAGGACAGTTCAAAACCACACCGGGAGCTCCCGGTCTAGTAGAACGGCCAGAGTCTAAGATACAGCACGTAAAAACGCGTCCTCTACAAGGGAGGCTGCAGAGAACCTGGACCCCACGCCGCAGGGGGCGGAGGAGGGGTCAGCCACCCCGGAAAACAGTTTGGCGGCTTCACCTGGAGTTACATGTCCACTTACCGTCCCACCCAGCGACCCGCTCCCAGGTATTTACCGAGAGAAATGAAAGCTTCCGCTCACCCCCAAATCTGCGAGTGTTTGCAGCAGCTTTGCTTCTGGCCACCCAACCTGGAAGCAGCAGTGATGTCCCCCAGCTGGTCCGCCGGAATGCCGCTCGGTAACGGAAGCACCTTGGACGCATCTCTGTTGCATTCTGTCATGTGATGAGGACCGCGAGACCCCATTTCCGTGTTACCCTGGGAAAGGGGAAGAGGGGAGGGGTCCGCAACAACCCGCAGAACAAGGGCGGGAGGGGGTCTGTCTGCAGACCCGGCCCGGGGAACTCCTGGTGTGGGGACTGACCTGTGCTCTGTGAGTGGTGGTGGTTGTAGAATCTCCACGTCTGCTGAGACAGCACACTGCATGCACACTTGCGTGTCCGCACACAGGAGTTTACCGATGGGAAAAATGTTTAAGGTCTATCTAGTGTGGCTTTCTGAGTAAGATGTTTGCGGGCCGGGCGGAACTGACACTTCATCGCCTTGGTTTCCTGCTGCGGGCTGAACAGATTTATGTTTCTCCTGTGTCTTCAACTTCTGTCTCTATTCTGCTGGTTTCCCACCGACATTTAAGCTGAGACATCTCTTGTATCATAAAAAAAATTCAACTAGAAAAATAACGTTCCCTGGATTTCTCCTTGCCATCTGTTCTTCCTTTCCTCTCCTTCACGGCAAAACTTGACACATTCCTGTCTGTCTGTCTCCTCTTCCTGGCTTCCGTCCACTTTTCAGTCCATCTTGCTCCTACCTGCTCCAGGACAGCAAAACTATTCTTGGCAAGGTCACCAGTGTCCACTGCACACTTCAGTCAGCTGTGCAGTGCGCCGCACTCAGAGTTTGTAAACGCCAGTACAGCTGAACAAATTACTAGAAAGCCGGCAGCTTAGGGCTGCCACCCAAACTGAGAGAAGGGACATTATCGACACTGGGGGGAGGGTACAGCTCCGTGGGAGAGCACACTCTTAGCGTGCAAGATGTCCTGGGCTCAATCCCCATTAGAAAGTAAATAAGTCTGATTACCTCCTCCCCTCACCAAGAAAAAAACCCTCAACATTCTAGAAGCCCCTTGGGTAATCCCTCCCCATTCCTTTAAAAGGAATCACTGTCTTGATTTTCATGGTAATCAACCTCTTGCTTTTTCCATACTGAGTTGGCATTTTAAAAATACAACTCGGTTTAGCCTGTTCTTTTTTTTTTGCACTCCTTATTAGCACTCATACAGAGTTGTGTTGGGATGAGCAGAATTGTCAGCAAGGGCGCTCGCTGGTCGCTGACTGCGGGCTGTCCGCCAGTGAGCCAGCCTCCTTGGGGCAGGGTGGTCCTCTTCTCCCGAGGTGTGGGGCTCCAGGTGTGGGGCTGTGGGCGTTCCCGGACAGTCCCTATGAACTTGGTACTGCGGACCGAGACTGGGGGGCGCCGGACTGCTACACGGGGCCAGAAGCCCTTGGTGGGATCCGTGTGTTTGAGGATGACAAGAAGGCTGGGTGGGAGTCTGTGCAGAGAAGATGCCAGGGGAGAGCGAGATCGGGGCGGAAACTGTGCTGGAGTCCCTGTTCCTCATGTCAGGATGAGACACCCTGGGACACGTGAGCCCTGACTAGTGTTTCTCAAGGGATGTGGCTGCTGTGGGGGAGCGCCCTGCGGGGAGCAGGGTGGCGTCGGGGCTGGCCTGCTGCTGGGCTTGGTATCCCAGCAAGAGGGGCTGCAGCTCTCATTTGGCGGCAGGAGGGGACGAGCCAGCCAGACGCACTCTGCTCAGACGATGTCATGAAGGAGGAGGCCAAGGCCTCCACGGATGGATGGACGGGCTGCGGGTTCTGAGAGGAGGGAGTCCATCCTGGGGCCGTTGACTTGGACGTAACAGTTGGTGAGAAGACAGTTTAGCAAAGATCCCTGCAGTGATTTAAGAGGGGTACTTGTGGGGGCTCTCTTTCCTCCTGCACGCCAAGGCAGGCGTTGTGAAGCCGTGCGAGGTGCCCGTGCAGGGACAGCTGCCCGCCAGTGCCCGGAGATGCCCAAACCACGGATCCGGCCTGGGCGGCTCTGCCAGTGTCACACGCGGCCTCTGGTCCCTCCGGCTCCCACCAGCCGAGCACTGAGTGAGGGTAGCACCTATGGGACCTTGTCAGATGGTCAACCACTCGGCCAGCGGCAATTTTCTCAAATGAGTGTGAGGCAGCACCTCCGTGAATAATTTCTTCTGCCTCAGGGCCCGTGGTACTAAATTAGCTTCCTCTGGCCACTCTAACAAATGACTACAAATTTAGAAGCTGAAACAACCCACGAATTTACCTTCTTGCAGTTTCAGAGGCCAGTATCCACAGTGGGTTTCCCCGGGCTCACATCCAGGTGTCGGGGCTGCCTTCCTTCCCGAGGAGAGAATTGTTTCCTGCCCTTCCCAGCTTCTGGAGGCCGCCCGCGTTCCTGGGCTCGCTGCCCCCTCCAACTGTTATGTCGCTCTGACCTCTGCTTCCATCCTCATGTCTCTGACTTCACTGACTAGGAGGGACCCTGTGGCTGATCGGGGGCCTCCTGGATA